TTGGGCTCCCGAGGATGTGTTACACGGGAGCCCCAAGAAGGGGTCCTCCAATCCTTCCGAAGAGGGACCCGTGTCTTTACGACGTCCCTATATCGGTTTAGGGTTTAGGGGCTTAGGGTTTAGGGTTGAGGGTTTAGGGCAGACCCTAAACCCTTCTTAGAGGATCATGGGCTGAGGAAGTAGGTTTAGAAGTACGGTGACGATTATATCTACTGGTTGGCCCTATATCTACTTGTTAACCATAATTACGGTGCATACCAAGTCCCATGATCCTCTGAGTACACCCTGTAGTGCGACCTCGCTAGCTCGGCCTTTCCCCTAAACCGTAAGCCCCAGTCCCTGTTCCTAAACCCTACCTAAACCCTAAACCTTAAACCCTAAATCCTCGAGCAAAATCCGCATGTTCGATTTCAGATGCTAGCACAGGAGCCCCTGCCGGAAGAGGACGAGGAGGCCCCGGGTCTCTTCCCAGCGTCGTGTATTTCTCAACAGAAGGGGAAGTAAACACAATCTAAACACACAAGCACACCCACCAGCAGATTGTTTTTATGTCTATATATATATATGTATATGTATCTATATATATATATATATATACACGTATATATATATATATATACACACGTGTATGTATATATATATATATATACACACGTGTATGTATATATATATATATATATACACATAGATAGATACACATACATGCGCATACACATGGTTTCATTGAGTCTTCGAAGGCTTGGTTATGGGCTTGGCAGGTCTTTCTCAGAGTTTGAAGGCAGTGAGTTTTCAAAGGTCTTCGTCAGGTCCTCACAAGATTTCTTACGGGAATTCCCTAAACCTTAAAGCCTCATCAATGTATCACGTCGACTTCTGCACCTGTGAATCATCGCCTGGCTTGTCCGAGTTGTGATCCCAAAACCCTAAACCTTAAACACTATACCGTTTGGGGGCTTACGCAGGGTTCTGTACTAAGCGCTTCATGTGGGCTCTGTAAGGGTTGCAGCTCTCGGGTAGGTCTGGCCTTTTTCTTTGAAAGGCTGTGGGATTTGTGAGATTTTCCTGGGCTTTGAGGTGGTTGGGACTTTGGGCTGTGAGTTTCGAAGCTTAGGGCTTCGGGTTTGGGGCAACTTCTTGCTAGCAATCTCGTCTTGCCATGTCCGTAGGCCGCCTCTGTGTAAGTTTTGAAGTTTCGTGATGGCTGGTTTGCTGGTGGGCGTTCCGGTTATGCCTCCGGTTCTGCAGCACATGTTCCGGCAGCAAGCCCGAGCTGAGCCCCGTCGCCTGAATCCGTGCCTGCTCTGCGAGTCCCATAAACCCTAGGCCTCCAAAGGCTAAATCAAAACGCTAAGCCCTAACCCCCCCCCCACCCTCAAAAAAAAAAGCCAAAACCCAAACCGCAGAGCCCTCAGCCAGCGGAGGCCACGGCAGCTCCCAGTGTGGACTCGGCCCAGGGCTTGGCCGCCAAGGCAGACTTTCCCCGGCCAGACGCCCCTAAACCCCAAGCCCGAAGCCCAAATCAACCTTAACCCCTAAACCCTAAACCCTAAACCCTAAACCCTAAACCCTAAACCCTAAACCCTAAACCCCTAAACCCTAAACCCTAACCCTAAACCCCAACCCTACACCCCTAAACCCCTAAACCCCCAAAACCCTGCCTCGCTCCTAGCCAATGTGCTATCGTCGTACTTGGAGCCTTGCCAGGCTTGTCCCAGTGAGTGCTGACACCCTAAACCCTAAACCCCTAACTAACCCCTAAACCCCTTAAGCCCAGATCTTGGGATTTTCTCTGATCGTTGCGCACCTTCCCCATCTTGCAAGCCCTACTCTAGGAGCCTTACCCATTATCTATACTATTTTCGGGGTTCCTTATTCTAAATATAGTAGAATGGGCCCCAAAACCCTATTCTAATTGCTAAGGCTTCTACAGTAGTCTCATTTACCCGACCCATGACCATATGCCTCGCCTGGACTCTCCGAGTGTCTGCACCGAAAGCCTTGAAAGCCTTAAACCGGAAGCCCGGAACTCCGACAAAAACACCACTCCTTTTGGGGAGCGTTCGTTGGGCTTTTGCGACTTCGGGTGGTTTTCGGTCCAGACTGTCTCTCTAGAAATCTGAAGATACCCTGAACGCACCCAACTGTAAGCCCTGGAACCCTACAGCCGGTGTGCCGCAAGCTTGCAGATCCCCTTTCTCAACCCTAGACCCTAAACCCTAACAGCCTGAAGCCCTAAACCCTAAACCATACACCC